AACCGAGGCAAATTCACGCAATGGGCAATGGAGCTAAGTAACCATTTCAGCGTCCCACTTAGTTGGGATAAAGTTAAACAAAAAGCGGAGAGGTTGAAAAAAATGTTTGACGCAAAGTTCCTACTTCGGACTGCTACTGGCCTTGGTTGGGATCCAATTGAGAGGAAACCAACCTGTACCGATCAATATTGGCAACAATTTGTCACTGTAAGTTCATCGTATGATTTTCATAATTGTTGTATGCCTTGCTGTCTTACTTTACTTACATTAATCTTACCCCATTCATCAGAGTAAAAGAAATATTCCATACTTTATCATTATTATTGTATATGTAGAGCCATCCTGAGGTTGAAAGGGCAAGAAGGAAGCCTTTAGCATATTATGATTTGTATTACTGCGCATTTGTGAATTCATGTGCCACTGGTGTAAATAAGCAGTGGTGGCCGAATCCCACATGTTGCCTTACAGTCCCATTTAAATAATAAATGGTCAAGTAGAAACAGTCAGACACGCGTACCAAACTTCATGGAGCGTGACATGGATCGCCTAGTATCATCTATTGAAAATAGTGGTCACAAACGAGCTAAAAGTTCCGTCACACCGAATTCTGCTGAAAATGAGACATTTGAGGACAAATGCATTAATTTACTTGGAGAGTTGGAAATACCTCAAGATCAATATCTTTTCATGTTCAACTTTTTGACGACACATGCTACACTTCAACGGCCATTTTTGCGCATGAAGGATCATCATCGGTTGGTTTGAATTCAACAGACGATAGAGCAACATGCAAATCAGCAAGTCCCGCCTCCACCACCAACCTACTTCATGCCTGGACCACCGCTGCCGTTCCAGTCTCGCAATCCAATGAACCAGCATTTCTCACACCCCTCCTTCCATCCGAATAACCACACACTCCAACCGACCACTAGCAATTTTAAACCATACATGCCCCCGAACTTTCCACCATATTCCGGCCGAAATGGAAGAGATAGCGGTTGACATTCTCATTAACAACATTGTTGTTGTAGGACGCCGAATCGAATCCGGCTGCGGAAGCGTGGTGGTGCGGGGAAGAGGCGGATCGTGTATAACAAAAATTTTCATAAAACTTTTGAGATACTCTATATATTATATTAATTTATGCACGAATAAATTAATCTCATTAACTTATATATATCAAGAACTCAATCAGGAAAAATACCTGGAAGCCGACTCGGATGATAACTTGAGTTCTTTGACCACGAACAGTCCTTGCTCCAATCTTTGTGTTTAGAAAACCAATGTCTTCCACGTCAATTCTTAGAATCCACGAAGACGTGTGTGTGGGCACACATGAGACAAAACGGGTTACAATAAACACTCGAATTTCCACAAACACCAACGCATGCACGATGTGGAATTTTTAGAGAAAAATTTTTCCTTCCTTTCTCTCGAATTTCGGCCAGCCTTAACTCTTAAGGCTGAAAAATTGTTTCTAAAATTTCTATAGAGAAATTTCAGCTACCTCTAAAATTAGGGCAAAAAACCATTCTGAAAATTGTCTCAAAAATAGTATTTATATAGTAGAAGTCAAACTTCTAGAAAGAATCCAATCTCTATCTCCAATTTGAATTTCGAACCAAAATTCTCCTCTATCCCTTATCCCTTGTGGCCGGCCATGCTAGGGATTCCTATCCCTGTGTGTGGCGCCAATACTGGATAGGGGAGGAAGAGAAAATCATCCTTTATCCTGTAGTTCAATTTTATTTCAATTTCAAATTCGAATTTAAGTCAAACTTAAATTAATTTGAATTTCTAAATTGAACAACTTATCTAATAAGTTTAAATGGATAAATCTAGATGTGTTCAAATTTAAATTTAAATAATCACATTTTTAAATAATAATTAATTCTCAATTAATTATTTTTTTCGAGTATTTAATTTTAGAATTCCGTAATTCTAAAATTTCCATTTTGCCCTTTGTGTCTAGTAGAATTCTAGGACGACGCGGGGACTAATGGACCTATAATCCTGAGCTCCAATAAAATTAATAATTAATTAAACACTTTAATTAATTAATTAATTCTATTAATTCTAATAGTTACTCCACTATAAACTTGGAATTGCACTCTCGAAATTATAGATATTAATTACTTCTAAACTGTGAAGTGTCCATTTGATATAGTCATTGCATATAGATCAATCCTCCATAAATAATTCATAATTAGAGCAAGGTAAAATCCGTTAACCTCTCTAATTACTTCTTTATCCTTGAGTATCATTGATTCTCTAATGGACAGTGATTCATAAAACACATTCATGAATCGGAGCTCCTACTGGTCCAAGTACCGAATCAACCCTCAAGAGAATTATTTATCTACTTCTTTCTTAAGAAGGAATGGATTCCATCTCGTGTAATAACATTCCCGGCTACCTACTTCATCATGTCTCCAAAATACAAGGAATAGGATTCAGGATCTCAGAATCCGTACCGAGTAAATCAAAAGACACAAATCCATAAATAGGAGTCTGTTAAGAACTCAGGATTAAGATCATCCTATATATGACCATCGGTAGACTCAATTAGAATTTCTATACTTAACAGAATTATTAGAAATTCATATTGTGTCTGTGTCCTTGTTCCACATAATCTCATTATGCGAAATACACTCATTCAATATCTCACCATATTAACAGTGCGGATAACACCGTTCCATTCTAAATGGGAATGACATGTATTAATAATATTTTAATTAAAGATTCTGAACTTTAATTAAATTCATTCTGAACATTGCTTTTTGATTATTATCCTTAAATATTGTCCTCTCGTATATAACACTTATATACAGTGTTTAAGGTTACATAAATAATCATGGAATTTTCATTGATATTCATAAAATATTCATAAATATATGTACATAAAATAATGAATAAACTCTTTTATTAAATAAATAATAAATATCCTATTACATCTCATGCTTCTAGGACACCATTCCCAACAGTTGTGTTATTCTTGTTCTTTTTTTAATTCATTCATTGCACTCTATGATTCTGAGACATTGGTATTTGAACTTGATTTATATGCATATTAACATTTGGTCCAATTTTAGGTTATTTGAGGACCACGGATATTTATAATGTTTGTAAACATTGTTGGACTTCTTGTTGTTGGTTAATGAGTATATATTTTTGTTTGATATATAATAGATTACCAATATTACTTAAACATATGATGATCAAATACTTTGATATTTGCATATCATAGGAATGGCTGTCCAAGGCATGGATCACCAGACAACGATAGTGACGACGAATTTTTCAAGAAGTTGTTGCAGCTGCATAACTTTGTTATGCATTAAATTTGTATATAGAGAACCATCATGCCGAAGGCACACTTCTGGCTGGGGAGGTAGGCTTAGAGTGGATTACTATCTCAATGGGAGTCCATAAGTGATTTACGACAAAGTTCGCATGAGTAGTGACGCTTTTAGTTGCCTGTCTTCAATCCTTGAGGAAAGGGGATTACTGCAACTGACAGTCAACCTTAATGTTGACGAGCAATTATTCATTTTCCCTACAATACTATGTTAAAACCAAACTAATAGGGAGGCGCAAGACCATTGGCAGCGCTCGAGATCCACGGTATCGGAGTATTTCACGAAAGTTCTTAAAGCGGTTTGCCAATTAAAAACAGACTTCATACGGCATCCAGATTTTTCTACCGTGGATCCTCACATAATTGCAGGTAGAAACAAGTATTCGCCGTGGTTCGACGTAAGTTACGAACTTATTACATAAATTTATTTATCTACTTCATAACTTTAGTCATATTTGATCACAAAATGAGTGTAACTAACACATAACATAACAACGGACGTAATTTTGTTAATTTGAAGGATTGCGTTGGAACACTAGATGGTACGCACGTTCCATGTGTGTCTCCCCGTGAAACGGCTAAACTTTACATAAATAGGAAGAGGTTCTTTTCGCTTAATGTGCCCGCAGTTTACTCATTTGATATGAGATTTACGTACATGCTACCTGGCTGGGAGGGTTCAGCACACGATGCGAGAGTACTTGCGTCTGCCTTAGATCACCCGTGGAAATGATTTCCGAAGCCACCACCAGGTAACTGGAACAAACGTCTCTTTGTACATCTACTTAATTCATAAGATGGCGTCTAGAGTATAACTGTTGATTGTGATTACTTAAATACATGTAGGAAAATTCTACCCCGTCGACTCGGGCTACGCAAACAACGGATGTTTCATGACACCATATCAGGGAACAACATATCATTTGCAAGAGTATAGGAATCGACGTGGTAGAGGCTTCCGCAACGAACGTGAATTGTTCAACTACACACACTCCTTCCTACTTAATGTAATCGAAAGAACATTTGGTGTGTGGAATGTCAGGTTTCATATTTTGAAAAGCATTAACCGTTACCCCATTGAAAAGCAAGTTAAGGTTCCGGTTGCATTTGCTATAGTTCATAATTTTATCCACATGTACCGTAATGGAGATAGACTATTGGATTAGTACTCACAAGATGGCGCTCCGGTTGCGGACATTGATCCATAGAATGTTGAAGAGGATATCAATGATAATAACAACCACGAAGGACAACCATTGAATTATAATGCATAATTGGAGATGAATGTGTTAAGGGATACAAGAGCGCATATAATGTGGGCAGTATACCGTAATCATCGTACGCGCTAATAATAGTGTATGGAGAATTGCAATATTAATTATGTATATATTGTAATTATTTGCTCTCCATTTATAATGGAAACTCATCTTCTAGTAATTTTTTATATGGTATTTTAATTTATTAAATGAAGAAAATGCCTACGTTGTTTTTAAATTTATTACAACTTATAGATGATTCACTTTTATTTATTCAAATTAAATTGCCTAAAATAAATTAACTGAAAGAAATAAAAAAATTTCAGGATACTATTCACAACTCAAGAATTAGTTGAAACAAACACAAACTCAAATAGAATCTAATCTCAAATTATAAGTCAAATTTACACAATCAAACACAAACTCAAATTACAATTTCAACTCGAGTTATAACTCAAACTCAATTAAAAATATACACTCAAATCACCTAACTCAAAAAGGGTAAAACAACAGGCTCTAAGTACTACCAAGAAACAAATTAAGAAATAAGCGATTTTATGGCCCAATCAAACAAGGAAGAGAAAGCAGCCAGAAGAAAACAACAAGTCCACTGCCTCACATTCAAATTCTTACCACTTAGAAGACCTTTTCCGAACTGAATAGCGATAAATTGAAAGAACACTACTGTAACAGAAGCCGCCAAAAACCAATAGCTCTGAAGAACAACCATAAGAACCTCTTTCTTTGCCAAGTTGATGACATTCAACAGATTGATGAGTTGGCAAAGTGTGAAAGTGTTGAAGATGAAGGTTTCCCAAACATCTTTATCTCTTTTGGTTGAGGCATGTTTTCCCAGAATAATGGAGTACTCAAAGATGATGAGCAGAAGAATAACTTGATAGCAAACTTGAATGGCTATGTTTATCCATATGGTTTTGGTAATGAGTGAATGAGTTCTCTTAGAGGGTCGTCGATCATCGTCGCAATTTAACTCCATTGCCATCATTAATCCACCAAGAAGACACAAAATCAAGTTCACCCATGTCATGTGAATTGATGATAAGGGTGATTCTCCTGAGTGCATTGTCGAAACTAAGATTATGATCAACCCAGATATCCAAGCAGTGAGCTGAAGTTGAAAGAACTTCTGAAGGCTTTCGCATTGCTTTTTACCACGCTCTCTTATTCGGATTACCGATAGATCTGGCCTATTTTTAAGGGAGATATCAGAAACGGCTTTTGCCATCACAGTGCACCTACCATCCTGAGTGATCCCCACATCGGCCTCTTTCAGAGTTAATGCGTCACTCGCCCTTGACCCTCCATAGAAGGCAACTACTTTTCCATTTTCTTTCAATTTTTTGACCATAAGTAGCTTGTCCTCAGGGAGGGAATTTCCTATTACAGTGATCTGCTCCACTAGTTTCCTCTGCATCTCTGACTCGACCGATATCTCTCGAATATTTTCAGCTTCAGTAATTTCCTCATCATTTGAACCAGGCCTAAAAAATCCCAATTCCCAAGCAATGGATTTCACTCTTGGTAGCTCATCTTCTGAGACTAATTTGATGACCAATCCTGCTTCTCTAAGAACTTCCACAAGGGACTTAATCTCTTCCTTACATGGGTACTTGAGACCTACAATTGCCAACAAGCTAAGCCCATCTCTCTTGAGTTCTCTAACCTCAGTCTGTCCATAAGCAAATGCAATTGGTCCAAGACCATTGTTCTCCATATTTTTAATTACATTCTCAAACATTCTCTTTTGATCATTCACTATTGCATGCCTTTCACCTCTAGTGTCATAGAAATGTGAGCACATTTCCAATATTGTTGAAGGAGGTCCTTTCCAGTGCAAGTGCAGAAGACTTTGTTCCTCTTCTTCGTCGCTGATTTTTCTCATCAAAACCTCACAACCTTTCTTGCCAGAGCTTGATGTTCTTCGGTACTCAACAACTTGAGACTGTTCATTTGAATTGCTATCTCCATTAATGCACGAGAGGAGAAAATCATCCTTTGGACTAACATGAACCCACACTCCAATTCCTCGGTCCAGTACCGAATCAGTAACTACTGATTTGTCTTGTGTTCTGCCAGCTACGTCTTTCTCGCCCATCCAAAACTCCTTGACCTCAATTTCCTCACACAAGTGGTCACCAGATGCATCAATTACGAGGAGGGTGACCAGCCCCATGGTGCAACAACTTGACAGATTCGCAAGATTCGCCTCATTCGACAACTTCTGGTTCGAGTGACTTAGAAAAACTCCAATCACAAATGGCATCCCATGTTGAAATCCAATTACAAACGTTATAAGAGCACTAGCCAAGATTGAAACCCTTCCTTGAGGTTTCAACGCAAGACTCTCGAATATCTCCATTAGATTCTTCATTGCAAGATGACCCTTCATTTCCGGAAATTCATTGTAGCTGTCATGTTTCTTAAAGAAAAGGCGTATCAGCACAATGAAAGCAATCAAAACAGACATAGAAAGTGCGAATTTCTCTATGTAACCATAAGGTTTGTCCAACAAAGATTGCAACAAAGTTCCCGCATTAGGATCGTGCAGACTCGGTACGACATGCTCATCCGAACGAATCGATGTGACAATCATTGAACCGTGGCCTTCCATAACATGTGAACCAGAAAACAGAAAAGGGTTTCTGTCGTCATCAATCAGCTTTGACTTGAACTGTGCCGCGTCCAACTTCAAATTTTCGCCTTTGATAAACAAACCATCAGCCGGAACCTGATCTCCTTGCTTCAAATGCACCGTGTCCAACACCTTAACATCGCAAACGGCAACATTTAAAGACTTCCCGTTTCTTTCAACTTTAACCTCCAACTTGTTCCTGTCCTTCAAAAACTTCTTCACGCGCTCTCTTTTATGGTGGAAGTTCCCCACCGAAGAGAAAGAAACGAGCAGGAAAATGGCAAAGAGCACGGCTGCACCATCATGCCAACCATCTTCGAGTCCTCGCTCGATGATTTCGATGGCGAACAGCAGCCCTGCTGATATGAATAAGAGGACAATTGTCCAGCTATTGAAAGCCTGCAATAAGAAATGAAAGAAACTTCGTGTTTGAATTCTTGTTTCCCAGTGTTGTTGTGACTCTTGAGTACTATCAATAGCGTCAGGAACCTCATTTTCCTGCCAAAAAAGGTTAAATGGAAAATTACTACATATAAATGATAACATTGCAACCTCCATTATGTAAGGAGAAAAGAGTTTTTCCTTTCTTACCTCTCTTCACAGTCTGACTAAGAAAAAAAAATAAAAATAAAAAAAACAGCCCTTGTTGAAAAGGTGATCCCTTTTCCTTTTTGTAACTAACTTTTTAACTATACCTCAGTTATTCCACGTGCTATTTGATGGTCACCAAGTTGACATCAAATAGTAACATTTTAGAAAAAAGACTCAGAAAAGAACCAGTTACAAAAAGAAGGAATTCTGTGGTGGTCTATTTGGTAGTGTGCATTCTTGAACCTCATATGATAATAAATTTCGATATGGTAGTTAAAAACTTGAGAGTTCAAAAATCATGCACTACAAATCTGGTACCACAGAATTTCCTTGAAAACAAACTAAAAAATCTGAAAATTGCAAATAATAATAATAATAATCCCACCTTCAAATTTATACCACTGATATTAGAGTTTTGCATTTGTGCCACACAATGGAAAATGGCATAAATCCGAAAAACACAAAACTTAACTAATTTAAAAATATATTAAAATTAAGGAATTTTTATGATAAAAATTGTTTCTAATTATGACCGTTAAAAAGTTAATAATAACTTCACAGTTTTTACCGAAAATTCCCTAAAATTTGATAGGCCACCTAATTTTCTTAAAACAAATGAAAAAAGGGAGGGTCAACTTTCAATAAAGCCAAGAGCTTTTTATTTTCTTTTTATTTTTCTTTTCTTTTTATCTTTTCCCAGTAGAACTAACTCATCAGGGAAAAATATTGTCTACCTCAAAGTGGGACCTTTGAAGTGAGACGACCCTGTCAACACCACCAAGTCTTCGTAGACCCATCAAGTCTCTCTCCTTCACGATCCGTACAACTCTATCCCAGGAAAGAATGGAAAGAATGTCAACGACGACGTGGTGTGTCGTTTGATCGGAACAAGTCTTCCCATCAAGCGCCTCTTCGTCCTCCTGCAGATATTCTCGGTTCTGACGAATATAGGAAGTGAAAACGTGTATACTTAACACCACATATCGAAATCCGGCGGCGGTGTTGATGACCACTCCCGCACTGATACTGTCGCCGACGTCGCCACCGACGTCGCCGCCGACATCACCGCCGACGTCGCCGCCGAAGTCGCCGCCGCCGTCACAATTTGGCGGGAACATGCTTTTTGAGAGCACTGTGAGATTATAAAAGGAAAAGCACGAGGGTTATGGCTGAGTTTTTAGTAGAACTTATCTCGACATGCTTTTTGAGAGCACTGTGAGATTATAAAAGGAAAAGCACGAGGGGAATGGCTGAGTTTTTAGTAGAACTTATCTAAAAAAAAAAAAGGGGGAAAAAAAAACAGAAGCGACGTGAGTATAAATAAAAGTGGTGCTTTCTAGTGGGGAAGCTCAGAGAAGAAAACAAACCGTAACGAACCAAAGAAAGAATTTTTTTTTTTTTTTTTTCCTTTTTTGGAGAAAAGAAGTCTGAGAAATTTTGGTAAGAATATAAACAAAAAACTTAAGAAGTGAAGAAGGTTTTAGAGGAAAGGGAGCTTTGGTTGTAATTTTAAGATCACACAAGAGAGTGTAATAAATAGGACAAAGAACGCGCTTTCAACGCAACGCGGAGGTTATTTTCTAATTTTCTTATAATTTGTTCCTTTTAAAAAAAATTGAAAATAAAAAGTATAAAAGGAGTTCTAGAAGTATTTTTTACATGTATAATAAAAAAAATAATAATAGAGGAAATTTTGTGGAAATTTTTGTAATTTGTCTTCTTATTATGACACGCGTTTTTGTGGAAATTTACTTTCATGCAAGGATAAGATCGTAAGATAAACCTCCCCTTTTATTAATCCAAAACGTTTGTGTGCATATTGTTATTTTTTAACAATTGACAGTTTTGTTGTGCAATAAAATATCTTATAAATCAGTCTGAAATATAAGAATAGGTTTTCTTAATAATTAAAAGAAAATATGTTTTTATATAATTAAGGAAAACTTATGATGATAGTCTGGTGATTAATTTCTCTCCAGAATTCCACATTAATTTAGCTTTAATTTTGTATGTTCTACACATATAATTATATGGTGTCGTCTCCTTAATTTGCTATACTAAAGAACAAATATGCAGCGGCTATAACCACAAGCTGGTTTATGCAGGTTCATTATTAACATTTAAACTCTATTTATTTATTTCTTTATTTGATAAGTACATTTAACTCTATTTACATTGTACTTAAGAGTACTTTAGAAATGTGTGTTCATTTAATTAATATTGCCAAACAACATTTTTTTTACTATAAGTGAATACGAAATAGGGGCTTTTTATGATGAGATTCCATGTGTGTGTGTGTGTGTGTGTTTTTTTCCCCTAAAACTAATTGAAACCATGCGCGGACGCATGTGAGATTCTATAGATAAAAATAAAAAAATATAATTATTATGATCCCATTTGGAGAAATTAAAAAAAAATGTATAATAGGAAAAAAAGGATAAGAAGCAAAAGAAAAAAAAAAAAAAAAAGAGAAGGCAAAAGAAAGAAAAATGTATAATAAGGCCAAAAAGATTTTAATATAAAAAGGACAGACAAGAAAAAGAAAGGAGAGAAAAAAAAAAAGATAAATGTTGAAAAAAAAGAAAAAAGTAAAAAGTAAAAGAAAAAAAGTGGAAAAAAAAACATTTTGACGCACGCCAGCGTGCAAAACCATTGTGCGTCGTTGAAGTAGATTCGCTCATAGTTATGATGAAGAGATACATAGTACCGTCTTGATTGAAACATAAGCCTCGTTTATTTCATCGATTTAAATTTAAAATTTAAATTTTATTATGGTAAAAAGCTATCAAAAACAGTCACATCTAACTTTTTTACTACAGTAAAAAGTTCTCACATAAAGTTACATCTCAATTCGAATTAAAAACACGAATCTGCGAACTAAACGGATTTTATATCAACACCCCCTAAGTTAAAAAAAATTACAAAAACATCTATTCTGTTAATCAAACCCAAAAAAAATATACTTTGACCATTAAATATTCCTAAATGGCGAAAATACACCTTCATGCATCATAAAATGATCATATTTGAATTCGGGGATTAAAATTAATATTTTTACGCTTATTTAATCAACAAAAATGAGGTTAAACAATCTTTGCACACTTAAAACTATACTTGTACTGTAATATGGTAAAAACATGATATTATGAAGGGTAAGATAAATTCAACGAGTAGCTTGACGACCAAGATTGTTTGGCTATTCTAGTCATTTTACATCACAGGATTATTCCCACTTGTACATCCCAAATCTTACATTCATTTTGACATCGCCGTATCTTTAAATTAGACATTAGTCTTAACCCATTTAATTAGGATTTTCGTTAAAAACAAACAGTACAAATAGAAGAGTTCTAAAGAGAAGAATTTGAGATTTTATCTTCTTGAAAAAGAAGAATTTAAACTAATAAAACCTGAATCCAAAATTGATGTAGTGTGGAAGGGTAAATAAAAAATAAAAAAATTAGAATACCCTAAAATAAAACGTCTATAAATACATCGATTCACATAGAATGTCAGGAGCATAGACATCAACCACTAAACGTTCTCAAATCTCGCATAATATCAAGAAAAGTAGACAGAAAAGAGAAACCTCTTTATTAAAGATAAACTCACAATCACTTCTATCTAAATGAAAGTATACAATCGTATTTATAGGCCTACAAACATATATATATATATATATATATATATTTTTTAAGGACAAACACATTTATATTATTGACTCAACATTATACATATACTAAAGAACATGAAGGATTTTACTGTTCACGTTACAGTGTAATGAACAGTGTCTTTCCTTTTTTACCCTTACATATTTCTTCAAATGATTTTTTATTTCCGTTATGTCCTTTTTAATGTTCAGTTACTATATTTCCCTTTATTTCAATTTATTTGTTTAGGTTTATTCTGACCGTTTTGGTCATTTACATTCAGAATGAATGTTTAACTTTTTATCTCTTCGTTTGTTGCCTTCTACAACCTTCTACATCTTTTTTTTTCTTCGTTTCTAGAGCAACTTTTCTCTCTTTCGTTTGCTGCCTTCTGCAACCTTTTACATCTTTTGTTTTTTTTCATTTCTGGACCAGGATTTCCTTGCTTCCCATCTTCTTTCTTTTTGCGTATATATTTTTAGCTGTTTTATGTTTTATTTTTTTATTTTCCTTTGGTTGTATATGCATGGTCTTTTTCTCTTCTTCGGTGCTTCTATTTTTTGGCATTTTTTCATCTGATTTTAGTGAAAATTGGGGGCTTCCATTTGTTCTTCGTTGTCGGTTATCTAGGCATTGGTTCTTCAATTTCATTTGGGCGTTTTTTCTGGTTTTGATGGATGCATTTTTAGTTCAACTTGGCTTTGGTGAAGGGTTTTTCGATTCCTCTTGCCTACTTCTCCATTGGGTTGATCTGCGATTTTAGTTTGGTTTTCTATCTCCTCTTACCGGAGTGCATGTTTTGTGCTTACCTTTTTTCCCCCCCTTTTAATATTTTTCCCTTCATTTTTGTTGGCTCTGTTCCTCTATGGTTGCTCTGGTTAAATTTCATGGTCTTTTTATTCCATGTTTTCTTTGGTGTCTGTTGTGTTCAAATTCTCCTGAATTTATTAAAATTTATTTCATTTTTTTACTGTATAATATAAAGGGTTTTCCTAAAATACTTCTGTGATTATTATTTCTTTCTTCAGTTGATTCTTTTGTGCAGAAAAGGGTTTTACCTGCATGTTTGATCTTTTCTATTACTGATTTCATCGTGTATACAAATTATTCTAGATTTTTCCTTCTGCATTTATTAATCTACTTATCTGAATTATTTAGAGTGTTGATTTGTCTACCTAGGTTGGTGATCAATACTGATTTTAATTCAGAGCTATTAAGGGACTTGATGATTTTTCCCTTTATTGTCTGAAATACGTGAGAAATTTTAGAAAAAAAAAATTGTTCTAAGGCCTTTTTCTTTCTGTTTTTTTCCTCCTTTTTTCCTTTGTGTGTGAGATGATCATTATTTAATCCTTATTCTGTCTTTTTTCCTTCTTCTTACTAGAATCATACACTGCACTTATTATTTATTTAAGAAATATCAATTTGTTAATGTTTCTAAACTGATATTCTATTGTTACATGTGAGGTTCTTATAGGTCATACACTCTTCCTAATTCTTCTCCTGTTTTTTATTTATAAATATTGATGCTGCACATGAATACATTTTATATATCTCTGTTTACTTCCTTTGCACTTTACTCATTCTCTTCAACATTTGACACTCGATCATTTACTGCTCTACTTCATTCTCCATCATTTACTGCTTTCTTCTGCTATCTCTGCATCCTTTATTTTCTCTTTGTTCTCATTTGGTTGGTCGACATTTCGCACTTAAGGAAGTGTTTATAGGGTTCCAGGTACTTTTAATGATCCTTGCCCGTAACTTTTCAATATCTGCTATTGATGTTACATATATTGGTTTGCTTCCGTGGATGCTACTACTATATGTTGCTCAGAAAAATTTTGTTCTGTAGTTAATAAGTGTTAGTAAACTACCTCTTTTCTTTCCACCCTTTTTTCCTGTTGTTGATTAGGAAATTTTGCTCATGCATTAAGTCGTTGTTTATTTGTTTACCAGTGATATATATATATATATATATATGTCTTTGTTTTATATACTTATTTTTAACTACTTTTACTAAAATTTATTGGCCATATCTCTCTTCTTTTTTATTAATTACTCTGACCTTTTTGCCTTCTTACGAATTTCATTCAAAACTTACATATATATATATATATATATACTTTTCTTTTTCTGCAGATGGATTTTACCTTTTTATTTGGTAGACATATTTTACTTTTGTTCAATATTTATTGTGGCAAGGATGATTTTGATCAATCTTGACATCATAAGTTTTATATAAGTTATCCAAAAATTGTTGTGAATTTATCTTCCTTATTTTGATTCTGCCTTTCTTCTTTATAAAAATTTTTTTGCCGGTCTGTTTCTCTCTCTCTTCTTTTTTTCTTTTTTTTCACATTTATTCGGGTCATTTTGGTCTTTTGGTATTAGTATTTGATTGAAAACTTATTTATACATAGATTAACTTTTTCTGTCTGTTGTTGTTGTCTTAGCTTTTACTATTCTATTTAACATTTACTTATTCATATTTTAGCTTTTCTTTTATGTTACTCGATTTTCACTTATTTTAGACTTTTCATATTTCTCTATTTTGGTTGTTTCTTCAATTTGAATTTCTGACTTTTTCTTTCATTTTTTTTCTTTTTTGCCCCCTTTCTTCTCTGTCTCCTGTGCCGGGACTTTTGACTCTTTTCTTACTCTACAATATGATTGTAAGCTTTTGTCCTGAGTTTTTTATTTCTCAATTTGTTTTGTGAGCCTTCTTGATCATTTTGATGGAAATGAAATGTTGATCTTTATTGCTTCCTTGATGTTTTAACTTTTATTATTCTATAACACTTACTCATTCATACACTAGCCTTTCTTTTGTATTACTTGATTTTTGTTTATCTGCAATTTTTATTTATTTTGGACTTTTGATATTTCTATATTTAATCTGCTTCTAAAAATTGAATTTTTGACTTTTTCTTTTATTTATTTATTTATTTTTGCTCTTTTTCTTCTTTCCATCCTATGCCCGGACCTTTGATTCTTTTCTTGCTCTACAATATAATTGTAAGCTTCCGTCCTCAGTTTTTTATTTCCAAATTTGTTTTGCAGTTGAGCCTTTTTGATCATTTTGATCGCAACGCTAATCTTTACTGTTTCTCTAATGCTTTCATTACATCCATTTTGTTCTTCTTATTCGGTCAATTTTCACACTTTTTTATCTGATAAATTTTGTTCTTCCTAATCATTTGCCTTCATTATCATTTTTCTGCATTTTTTTCTCTGATTTTCTATTTTCTAAAATTTGTATCTTGTAATTAAAAAAAAACAGAAGAAAGAAGCAAAACAACAGCAATGTTTCATCATAAAAAAATTTAAACAAAAATATTGTATATATATCTATATCTATAAAGAAATATAGTTATATATATATATATATTTACAACTACAGTACTGTATATATTTGTATGTGAATATATACGTAAATTAATTTTGTACTATAAAAACCCCAAACTTTTTATTTAATATAATGATATTTTCTGAAGCAACGTGCGGGATATCAACTAGTTAAAACTAAAAGAGTGATTAACTCTTAAAATGTATAGATAGTCTCAATAATTAATGCTCATTTAATAAAGATCTAAAGAGTCTATCCTTTTACAAATATTATTTTCATAATACTAAATTTAACCAACTCATGTTCTAACTCTAATTTTGATTTTGATTTTACTTATAAAATAATGTAATCCCTTCTAACTATTGTTATTATATTTCCTTTTTAAAATTATTGTGATTCATTAATCGTTTTTGTTTTTTTTTCCTTAATTGGTGAATTTTATGTTATGATACAAAAATGCATCCTAATGACAAGATGGATTACTAAACACTTAAAAACGCTTTCGAATTACACCAATATGTTTGTTGCTCTCTATATGTTGCACACTTCATAAGTTATAACAAGTTGCATTTCGGTCCCTGCATTTATTTATTTATTTCGGGGAGGAAAGAGGAAAAGAATTGCTTTGAGTTCTAAATATTTTGTTGAAAGGTAGGTCTTTGGAAATATTATGATTGACTGCACTTTAGACAGAGATTAAAGGCCCGTTTAGTTCGCTGATTTGAGTTTTTAATTCGAGTTGAGATGTAATTTTATGTGAGAGTTTTTTACTGTAGCAAAAAAGTTAGATGTCATTGTTTGTCGAAAGTTACTTTAGAAAATTAACTACTTTAAAAAATACTTTCTAATTATAATTAATGTACGTGTATGTTTTTCTTTTCTTTTTTTTAAAAAAAGAAAAGAAAGGTATAATATTTTCTCTTTGTAGTTAATGTGGGGGTATATTAGTGGGTTTAATGTAATTCTAATGTAAGTAAATTTGTTATAAATATAGATTATGATTTGGTGGAGATATTAATGAATTTAGTAGGTACAAATATAATTCTCAAACTAAAATGTTTCAAATTCCAAAACCCTAAAAACAAATACTAAAATAAATTTAAACTAATAAATGTTAAATAAATTTAGACTCTAAGAATTATAAAACAAAAAATAAATATTAAAACAAATTCAACCTCATATTAAAATAAATATGAGGTAAACTGTTTTTTTATATGTTTGCTCCTTTTGCATTTTATCCCTCTTAAAACCCTCATATGTTATACTCATGCTACATTTTGTCTAAAAATAAATAGTTTATTAACTGAGGGTCAAAATTGAATATTTCATAAACTTAACGCATCTAGACCTTTAAAAGTAAATTTTGAAGGTAAAAATAAGACAAGTGGATATCTTTAAGAGCCATCGGCGTAAATCACCCAATGTAATTGACATAGAAGTATAATGTTTTTTTTTTCCTTAATTTAAAAGCCTAATAAATAAAAGTAGAGTATATAATTTTTGTCCTGTAGGCGCTAATTATTTTTGAATAATTATTTTTTATATCCAAAACTTTTAGGTATTTGCAAAGGATTTTACCCACGTGGGGAAGAGGGATTTATTTATTTATTTAATTAAAAAAAATTGAAAATTTACTTCTTGTTGCCTCGTAGAAAGATCTTAACCGCAACGAGGCCGCGAAAAGATAATTAAAATCCGGCTTGCTCTTTTGTCACACGCTCTGTGTTGGAGCTTGTTTAGCAAACTAGTCAAAATTGTTGTAGCCTTTTTCCCGTTTTGGTTGTTATGTGGAGGGTCACGAAAGACTATTTTAATATTTTCTAAAACGTACAGCATGGTCATGTTATTATCGGCAATTAACACATCAATCGAAGGGTGTTGGGATAAGCAGGAGACAGAGGTGAGAGAGGGAGCGAGTTTTAATTATGCTCTGTTTGGTAAGAAGGAAAGAAAATTGGAGAGAAAGGAAAACTATAATGCATAGAAAATTAGAAGGATAAAAAAGATTTTGATTTTCTCTTGACTTATTTGGTATGATAGGAAAGAAAGAAAATGAATCTACCTTCTCTTGTTTAGTATTGGAAGTGAAACTAAAGGGATGGAAAAATTCTTATTGGTGTAATTACTTTTTTACCTAAATATTTTTTATTAATATTCTTTTCTAATAAAAGTATAAATAATACAGTATTTAACATCAAATTAACTCAAAAAATTCATGTAACTTAAACATATATTCTATCTATATTATGTATATATATACACACACATACATATATAAAGGTGCAAAAACATAGGTGGCGTTTGGAATTCGTTCCAAAATGATTTTGTTTTCTGTATGAAAATGAAAATAAAAACGTTTTCATTTCTATTTTGGAATCATTTCTGAAAATGCGTTTGGTAGTTTTATTCTAAGATTATTTTCAGTTTTAAAAAACTGAAACTGCGTTTGGCGGTTTAATTTTTAAAAACATGAAATAATATTTTAAATAATAATATATTAAATAAGTAATAATTGAATCTCAAATAAAAATACTAATAATTAAAATAATAAATTAAATTACATTACAAATAAATAATAAATAATTTAAAAAAGTTTACTTCGTATCCAATCTTAAATAGCATAAATGCAGGAAAATTATAATCCAATACACTCATATCTTGTATCCAAAAAAATGCCGTCAGAACAATGTGAAACCTGTTTCTCCATTTCCCAAATACTTTCAAACATTTCCCAAATACTTTGGCCAAACTCCTTCTCCCGCACGCATTGGACTGCATCAAAGTGTCCTGGTGTGCTAAGTGGAGAGAAAGCCCATTGCCCATTTATCTCTTTTCTGAAAAAAAAAAAAAAAAAAAAAAAAAAAAGCGCCAATTTTGGAGCCAAAATGAGGACAATTTAGTAATTTAAGTAGTTATCAACATTTTCCTTCTTAAAATCCTCCCACTTTTGGAGGGATTAAAAATGGTGGGACCCACCAATTATATTTTCCTTTCAATTTTCTTTTCCTTCCCAATTTTCTTTCTACCAAACAAGTTAATTTACTAATTTCCATCCTAAAATCCCTCCAACATTTTCTTTCCTTCCACTTTTCATTCATACCAAACATAGTGTTAATCTCTTGCTCTAATCCCAGATTTACTTTTAATATATTTGATCTTATTTCCATAGTAAAAATCTGCTACGTGTGCAAATAATCATCATACTTCTTTTCCCTCAAAATTGTTTAATTTTATTATTTAACTAAAAAAGATATTAAAAATATTTATCTCCTTTGTCAAAAGAATAATGTACTAGACATGCAAGCAAAAGCAAATTTAGTTTTGCACAGAAACGCGCTAGCAACGTATTTATGAATAGCCGAATACGAGTCATCCGCTTTTCACGTACCACTCCTTTTACCAAATTAAACAACGCTAGACATGCAAATACACAAAAAATTTTCACATGCGTCATATTTGTAGTTTAGGCACGCATTTTCCCATTTCTCATACAATTCTGGCCTCTGGATTCTTGTCTCTCGAGCAATTTCCACTATCGACGAAGTGAAAGGAAGATAAACTAAAACTTGAAACCAGAATTACAACCTTAATAAGCTAGATTCATACCATTTTACCACGAATATTGTATATCTAATTAACTGCATTATAAGGACAGCACAGGACAAGGAGCGGCGGCGGCCAACATATTTTCATTTAACCTTTTTCATTAAGGAACAAAAATCATATATAATTGAAAAAAAAAAAAGAAAAAACGTAGACTACAGAGTTAGTGTTACAAGGAAAGAAGAATTCAGACGATATAAAAAATACTTGTCAATATCACTCCATTGGGGTCGTGCCCTCTTCTTCTCCGGTGTCATCCTCTAGACTCCCCAACATGATAGCGGTCAGTAACAGCTTGCCGGCTTCAGGGTAGTCCTTGTGCTGCATCAGATTCGCTAAGACTGAAGAACCTGAATCCTTCATGATAGGAGGTTCCGAAGTTTCCTGTCTCAGTGGTAATACTTGATCAAACCCTTCTCCGAAAGTTTCAGCTAGAGGTCCATAGCACCTACTTGAAGCCTTGAAAAGCATGGTGTGCTTCAAATTCTGCAAGGTTTCCTCATCAGTCCACCCTTCGATTGTGGAAGCCTGATAAAGTTTGCTCCAATCATCCTGTTCGGCAGCATTCTTCCAGCACTCCTCCAAAAGGTTCTTATGGGCCTTACGGAAGGAGGAGCTAGTCCATGCAAACACATCAAAAGCGCACAGTGCAAGCTCTGGGCTTTTCATTTCGAGGCACAGCTTGATAAGCTCTTCTGGATTGAGCAACCGCTCTCCAACAGATTGCTTTGTTCCATCATCAGAAAGGAATTTTACTATTTCTTCCTGCAACAAATTCCCGTTATAGGTCCACATCAGATGAACGTTTCAGTAAAGGAAGACATAAAATTTCATTTACCATCATAAGTCCAGCAAGTACCCACAATGCGGTTCTAATGTGTAATAACGACGTTAAGAAAGATGGACAACAAGGTAAAAATAAAAATATTTCGATAATGTAATACGACTTTTCAGTTGGCAAATTTAAGTTCAAACACTGTTTTGGAATATAACTGATTGACCTGTTCAAAAGATATGTTGTGTCTTAGGACATGAGACTCGTGAGGTTGGAAAATATGCAAAATCCTAAATGTGAGAAGTCTCATCTCAACCATTCACTTCAATGGTCACCACTTCTAATTTCAAAAGGCCTTACTGAGTACGTGTATATATATACACAAAGAAAGGGGTGTTCAAATCTTGTAACCTTTTTTAGGCCCAACTATAGATGAAGATGCTGCATGAAATTCTACCATATGAAACAATTGGACATGCAATAACACCCATCTCTTCTTTTTGTACCGAGTGATTAAATTGCACTGATGTGGACTACTGCTTTTTCCAATGCATGCATACTTACATACATATATCTAAGTATATGTGGGTGCAGTTTCAATGGTTACGTTTCCAATGGTTACTGTTGTTTTTAGCTATGATATGGATCAAACCATTGTAATAAATCTGGTAGTCGACCAAAAAAATGTATTGCAATTAATGAAACAAACCACAACAGCAATTGTGATTAAGATATGCCCTTATTAGAAACAGTAACCATTAAAAACATAACCATTGAAAACAAATCCTATATATATATATATATATATATATATATATCTGCACTATAAATGACACAATGAGGTATGGATTTTCCTGTAGCTCCAGGAATCCATAACAGGAACTAGGAATGCATAAAATTGACAACAATCAGTTTGAGATATACAATCAGGTTTGAGAAGTGCATATAGGCTGTTTCTGTTAATAACCTAATTATTATAAACGACACCCATCGCACTGACACAGCAATGCCATTAAACCACAAATAAAGACCACATTCGTTGAGTATGAAAATTTATTACCATATCTGTTAGAGAAAGGAAAAAATCACAATTGGGACATCTCAAAGTAAATGTAACAATGGCAATCGAACTTTTAGCAAACCTGCAACTTTAGTATCTTCAAATCAGCTTCAATACGCTTCACATTTGCCTCCTCACCCTTACCTGCCGATTAAACATATGGATACAGTATTAAGAGTATAGACACAAAGCAATTACTGAGATCTTGCACAAAAACAATAGCAAATAGGAAAATTAAGATTCTTTCATCCCCATTTTAACTCTGTGTCCAATCACCTCCTACACCCAAAAAAAAAATAATGTAGATAGCACAAATCTTTTGGGTCTACCACTATTCTTAACCAGTGAGTTTAATTCACTTAATTTTGAAGACCGCTGATACCAGCAAAACAACCAACTTCTAAATAACGAATTAATACATTCATTGGTCATTAACGCAATAGGAAAACTAACTTCTTTTTCAAGACAATAGGAAAACAAACTCTCAAAAGTTTATTTTCCAATAGAATTAAAACATTTAAGAAAAAGGATATATGGAAGGTGAAAAGAAAAGCTAAAGGGTAAATCACCAGCAATTGCAGCTATCTTTGAGAGATTCAGTAGACGCTTTCTGTCTTGTAATTTGGGTACCATAGTTCCATAATGGGGGTCTGTCCCCTCAGTTTCTGACATTGAACGTTCATGTTGAGAAAGAGCCAATAGGTGAAGTGTTTCTGAAGCCAAAGAAAATTGATGAAGAAACAGTTCGTGAAGCCAAAGAAGATCCTGGTGACGCTTTAGAAAAATGGATAGCTCCTCCAGAAACTCTTCCCCGAGTCTTAGAAGTTTAGAAAATTGCCTACTTTTGTACAGTTGTTTAAACACAAAGTAACTGAAACCTCCATTGGGTCCCATGCTCTCACGCTATACAACAAATCATTAGAAAATTTTCAGCAAGAGTAGACACTTCAAACAAGCAATAAAGTATCAAAAACCATAATGTATCAGCATTATCCAGAGTAAGAAACAGAAGTAAAATACAAATCAGTCAAATCAAAAATAAAAATGTGTGAAATCATGAGATGATAAGGTCGGATTAGACATAGAGAGGATGACGTGTAAAAAAAAAAAAGAGAACTTGTCTCCCTTAGACTAATCTCTGAGGAAAAAAGTATCCAGGGAAAATAACGGCACAAACACGAAAAGAGAATCTATGGACAATGAAGAGAAATTCATTATGACTCAATGGTCTAATAAAGACTCTTCACAGGATAAAATAACCTTTGCATTACCCAGAATTTGGAATCATAAACTACAATAATTATCCCATGTTGGGCTTTGAACTGCGAAACATCTTTGATGTTTGTAGCAAAAATTTTAATTCTTCTCTGCTGGGAAAAACTGAGATAAAGGCAATTCTGTCCGCTTGAGCAACCTTATTTTAAGGTTAACTTTAGCTAGTGTTTTACATAGGTCAACCATCTCTGAGAGGACCAAAAAAAAAAAAAAAGACAGCAGTATATAGCTTTCCAAAAAGACAAAAGAAATTAGGAACAATCTAGAGATATTCGATTCTAGATGTGCATCTCACAACTGTAACAGGAATAAACCAACAAAGCACACCCCAAATGTTTCAGAAAAATAAAAATAATCACATAAACACGACTAAGAAATGACCATGTTCACACTAACAGTTTAAAGCAGAGTACACTTACCATTAGATTCCTAAGAAGTTCTGAATCATTGAGATCACAACATATTTTCCATAAAGTATTGTAGCATTCATGCCGGTTTGCAATTGACAGCAATTGTGAAGAAAACTTCTTCAGCGAATCCTTTTTGTGCTCACTAGTTTCTTCACTTATATCCTGAAAAGATAAGCAGTTCAAGAATGCGTATGTATCCATTATCAGGGAAGCAGAACAACAAATATTTCACTGAGCCAAGCCAAAGAGATTAACCTGGTGCCCATCTTCCACAAATTCTTTGACCTGTTGATACAGCGAGTCAAGCAGCAGATCCCTCCTACACCAGTACTCATCTAAGAGACCTTTGTGATCTTCTCCAAGCTCAACTTTAGCTTTGATGGCACCAGCATATGCTTCAAGTAGAATTTCCGCCAGTGCTTCAAGATGGGTATATAAATCTGATTTTGCAGACACATCAAGTGTAGATGCTTCCTTGAGCAGCTGCAGCATGAAGGAAGCGATGCTCCAAATCCCACTGCGCACCACATGTTTACAATACCATGGTGTTAGACCCTCAGGTGGTGGATACCATAAATGGTGCTCATTTTTGTAGTGCATGGCTGTTTGAACTATCGCAACACATGCATTGGATAGTTCACAAGCTCTCTGATTTTGAACTCCAAATGGCTGCTCTGTGCTTATTATATAATCCAGCTGTCTGTCTAAGCAATAAAATACTTCTTCCAGATCTGAAATCTTACTGTAGAATACTTCAGCGTTATCTCTATCCATCAGAAGAACAGTACTTCGCCGAGCTCTTTCCCCTACTAATTGAATAAGATCCCAAAGAGCACCTGATGTTTGAATTTCTTGACTGGAATGTGAGGAGCCAATTCCAGCAGAGCGATTCTGGCTAATAGCGTTTTGCAATTCTCTCAGTTGAATCATTCCAGCAAGCTTTTCACCATGTTCCAAGATAATCTGCAAGGAATGTCCTGCAGACAAAAATTATAATTAGACATGAAAAGCTCTCGTTTTCCATTTCTTCATTTAATTCTCAATTTTTTTCTTCTCTCATTGCCATGCAAGCAATCCATTCTCTAAATGCCTTTACCTCCATGCTACAACAAACCAAGGAGATATAGTCAATTTAGAGTTTCACTATATTGGTAACTTTCTGATGATGAAAGTTAGGATTTAGATCAAGAGGATTAGAGGAGCATGCATAAAGAAGTTTTGTTCTCTCCATTATCATAATAAATGGCCGTTTATAAGCTCCAATAGAAAGCCACGTGTGCTAAGAATTTAGTTCAAGAAAAAATGCAACATGCAAAAAAACACAGAAAGAGAGAGAGATGACATACTCTGTCTAGAACACAGCTCCTCATGGCATTTTGACAAAGCAAGAAACTGGAGAAATTTTTCATGCTTCTGCTGCTTATCCAAGAGTTGGGAAGAAACAACAGCCATGGCCAAAATCTCAGCTCCTCTGGTTGTTGTCCAGTGTTTAGCTAAGGTGTCAACAATTGATTTGCTCAGCCTTGCAAAAACATTTGTCTCTTCACCCCTTTCAAATGCTCGAGACTTTTGCAGCTTTTCGAGTGAACCTTCAACCTGCCCAGATAATTGAAAATCATGGAAAAGTTGACCTAGTAAAGTTTCTGATTCTTCATCTAGGGTATTTCGCCTTGCAATCACACCTTTAACTGCCTTTTGTCTGTCTACAGGCTCCTGTGCTTCAGAGCTAGCCCTTCTAGGAGCCATATTACCTCCAAATGTGAGGTTTTTTCTCTCTTCTTGTGCAGATCCTTCATTTGAGCTACCTTTACGTGACAAGCTACGCTCAGGTGGTTCAACACCACCAAGAATAACAGCCTTCTCTGGTATTGCCCAAATTCCTGCTTTCTCAGTTAGTACAACCCATGCCCCTTCACCATCATCTGTAGAAGGAAGAACTGAAGCATCTAGTACTTTACCAGCATCATAAGGTAAGTCAAATTGATAGAGCCGGGTAAAGTTTCTATAATAATGAGAGACTGTTGCTGTTCCGTCATTGGAAAGTATAATTGTTGAGCCTGAAGGCTTGCCCCCTACCCGAAGTCTCATTGAGAACAAGAAATCTTCATCTTCCACTCTTGCTTTTGGGATTATCACTTGGATGGGAGCTTTTTTCTCTAGAATCCTTTCATGTCCTACCTCAGTACTTACCCCGGATTTATATTGCATGGTCAAAAGTGAATATTGTGTGTAGCTTGAACTGCTAACTCGGTCCTTGCAGAATGTGGCGACCAGAATAGTAATAACTTTACCATAAATGTCAACTTGCACATCAAGAGGCCATACACGCTTCTGTCCAGCTAGATCTTTCTTAATACCCAAATCGCCATCAGTGCCAATTATTTCATGTGACCAGACCTTTGACACGTTTATATCAAGAAAAAGTTCAACATTAAAACAATGTATCTCATGATCGGTCAGAAGAAAAAACTGTCTGTTGGATTCATGCACAGAAGAATGTGAAAAACGCCAGATCAGAGACCTTGGATAACCTTTGCTTCCTGTTACATGACCATTGTCACCACCTTGGGAGGTTAAACTCGAAGTATTCCAATGTACTTTTTGTCGTTTGATACCAGATGGGCTACAAAGAAATTGCCACAGCTCACCATTTGAACTAGAAGCAATAGCAACACAAACATGCTGCGAATTGGGGACTGCAGACGCAATTAATGAGTTGAAAGAATACAATTCAGTCAAACCACTCCTCTGCCTACTTGAATGTTGCTGCCTAGACAGGGTGGTAAAAATCACCTCCAATTCGTCAGAAGATGCAGTACTGATAACTGGAGCAGTTTTCACTTTAGAATATATGTCACGCCAGTATATAACAGCACGTGTTTTTTGGTTACACAATACGATAGCAGCATAGTTGTTATGTTCTACAACTTTCTTTGTTCTACTAGATGTCATATCCCAATTGACAGCACAGAGAGACCAAGTGTCACCATCACTTCTGCGAATATCCCCATTCTCTAAAACATTTGAAGGGATTTCAAGAACAACACATTTCATTGATGCAGCAGGAGATAGGTAACTCCAAATGAAGAGTCTGCTTCCACAGATAATCCAAGCTATGCATTTTCCCTTTTCCATTCCACCATATATAAATGCCTCACCTGCCCAGGAACACATATAAGTATTATTTCTTTCTTTTTCCACATCGGTAGCTGTGGTTGTTAAAATGCGATAACGGATAATAATTGGATTCCAGCATACAAACCTGGAACACGCTTCTGCAGCAACTTGGTCTGCTCATCACGCACCACCTGGGGGAATTCTCCAACGTACACAGGCTTAATAGGATCAATGTCGTCCCCTTTCTCATTCTTGTTCACTATTGGAATTCTAGGCACACAACACCACAAATTGTTCAATAAGTCATCACGCAACAATCATAACATTTTAAATCTTCCATATCAACACATAAGCTTCTTTAACAGTCCAATGCAACATTCAGGGAGTTCCCAATTAAATTATCAGGCTCACTGAAAGATTAAATATTTTGCTGACAGTTTTTTCTTCGTGTTTTTTATAGGAAATACGACGAAGGTTGGTCTTCAGACAGCAACTACACAGCATAATTTGTGCATAACCATGAATATAAAGCGAAATCCGAAAAACGAAACATACGATAAACAACAATACAGCTCGCAATACTCAATCAAACCAAACCAAACCAAACCGACATTTTCATCCCAAAAAAAAAGCCCTACGAAACACCAATTCTTCAGACACATTCACAGACACAGCTGAAATTTGCGTATAACTATGAACACGACGCCAATTCGCAATCCACAAAACGAAACATACGATTAAACAACAACTAAGCTCGCAATGTTAAATCAAACCAAGCCTCTAAAACACCGATTCTTCACACAGATTCACAAAGCGTAATCGAAATTTGTCTTTCACCTGGCAAGAACGGAAAGTCGAGGAGCCCAAGGCGCCGGAGTGCCCGTGGCCGGGCGGTGGGGGACCAAATTGTCGGAGCTGGAGCGGCGGTTCTCGGCGAGAGGAGTGACCGGAGAAGCAGTCGCGGCGTGCCCTAGACTGGGATCTCTGCGAGAGCTCCCATGCGACCTCTTGGTTCCAGGAGAGAACATCTTCAATCTCCTTGTTTGCCCAAAATTGGAAAATGGAGGGAAATTTGGGTGGTCTCGAGGTTTAGGGTTTATTTTAAGTTTGATTTCTGTATTTTAACTCTTCCTTCATTTTACCTTTGAATTTTTTGACTTTTAAATTTTAACTTTATTAGAATTACAAATTTTTATAAAAAATTACATTTTTTTTATTAAAAAATTTTCACATAAAATTAAATTAAAAATTTAAATTAATAAATTAAATGACTTATAGTAAAAGATTATATATTTTATTATTAAAAAATTATATTTTTTATTATTAAAATTTTAAAATTTTAAATTCAAAACAGTAAATCTTAATTTTAAAAATAACTTTTTTTTTTCTAAATTTACTCTTTTTCTCTGGGGTTTTTTCTTTTTCTTCTCACTCATCTTTCTGAATTCTCAGTTTATGTTTCTCTCTCTTTCCGTGTCTCTCCTCTCTCTGCGATCCCTCTCTCTCCTCAGCCGACCTTTCTCTCTCTCCCCCTCATTCCGATCTCTCACCTCAGCCGACCTTTCTCTCTTTCTCTCCCCCTCATTCCGATCTCTCTCCTTTGCCGACCTTCCTCACTCTCCCCCTCATTCGCGATTTCGTCATCACCGCCGCCGAGTTCCATCAATGTCTTCCTTCCAACGCGACGTCGCCATAGCGCCGTCGGTGAGAGATCCGTGCATGAGATGCGTCTCATGCTGCGCTCAGAGTAGATCCGGAGATCCCAGCCCACGCCTCCGACGGATTTGATGTTCACGACGCCGTCATCTTCGCTGCCGCGACTCCGATCATCTTCTCCGGCGATGATTAGATCGGTATCTCCTCGATCACACTGTCGTCGTCAAAGGCGTTGAAGTCCAGTCCACAAGTAGATCTCCAGTAGTCGAGTAAATATTGAATTTACAGGTAAATACTGTATTTTTGGTAAATACAGTATCTACCCAAAAATACAGTATTTACCTTGGTGTCGGTGATTAAATATGATATTTAAATATACGCCTCGTTCATTTCACCGATTTCACCGATTCGAGTTTTCAGTTTTAAGTTTCTACAGTAAAAAATTCTCAAAAAATGTCACATCTAACTTTTTCTACTACAGTGAAAAGTTCTCAAAAAATGTCACATCTCAGTTCGAATTGAAAACTCGAATCCGCAAAATGAATGAGGTCATAGTGTTTATCAATGGTCGTCGGTAACTGTCGAATTTTTGAGTAATATGATGTTGTTCTTTTAAAATGAAATTCGAAAAAAATTTAAACTCGAGTTATAATTTTATTTAAATTTATATTTTTTTATAAAATTTAAGTTTAAATTTGAATTTGAGTTTAAATTTCTCTTTTAATTTGAATTTATAAACTCGAACTCAAATTAATAAACAGTATTTTTTTATTCTTAAAAATGTCATAATTTTTTCGTTTTAATTCTAATTGAGATGATTTTTTTTCTATGCATTCACAACAAAAAGACGAATAAAATCTCATCCATATATCTTATTAAAATTTTTCATCACCATTGACTTTTTATTAAAATATTATTTAAATATAAATTTAAATTTTGACTTATCTAAACAAAAACTCAAAAAGATTTTCAATTCAAATCATAATTTAAATATGCACATCTAAACATAAATTTAAGTTACAACTTTAATTTAAGATATAACTCAAACTCAACTCAAGATCATCATTTAAATCATCCTAACTCAAAAATACAAAAGAACAATCCCATAATATTTTTGATGAATATAGTATATACCGTATTTACTCATCGTCGATTGTTGGGTCGAGCACCATTTGGATTTCTAAGTAAATATGACATTTTTAGATAAATATTGATCTTTTAATAGTTATAAATTTGTATTTAGTAAATATTGTAATACTTTTAAATGCTTTAATAACTACAATTTTAAATTTAATAAATACTGTATTTACATATAAATATTTTAGTAATTATAATTTAGAATCTGTTATATTTATCGGTAAATATGATATTTACTGGTAAATACAGTATTTAATGGCCATCAGTATCAGTGGCGGGATCTTTAGATAAATATGATATTTATTAATAAATACGGTATTTATCGATAAATACAGTGTTAAACGGTCACCAGTGTTGGTGGTTAAATTTTCAGATAAATATGATATTTACTCGTAAATACAGTGTTAAACAATCGTCGGAATCGGTGCCTAAATTTTTAGATAAATATGATATTTACTGATAAATATAGTGTTAAACCATCACTAGAGTCAGTGGCTGGATTTTCGAGTAAATATGATATTTACTAGTAAATACAGTTTTTATTAGTAAATACGATTTTTACTTGTAAATTCAGCGTTAATCGGTCGCTGGAGTCGACGGTCAACTTTTCGAGTAAATATAGTATTTACTAATAAATATTGTATTAAATGGTAAATACGATATTTACCAATGAATACAGTGTTAAACGATCATCAAAAAACAATCACTGATCGTCGAGAACGGTCACAGGTTGCTAAAAATTTGTCTCTAGTCATCAGAGCCGGGCACTAGTCGCTGGAGTCGGTTACCGGTTTCGACTATAATGGACTTGACTATAATCTACATATTTTAAAAATATGCTATAATTTATTATTTTTTTTAAAAATAGATGTTTATGGGGGAAGAGTGGGGTAAAAAGGAGATTTATGAGTATTTTTATATTTTTAATAATGTTTAAAACTTAAAATATTAAATAATATTACAATTTATTATTTTTAAAAAATATACTATAATAATTTTCTTCTTTATTCTTATTTTAAGCTGATATGAAATTTACTAATGAGTTTGTCCGAATGAAAGACTTGTGAGGACAACGATCGGGTAAAAACGAATGCACCAATCGACAATGTGCCTTCACGGCCTAGATTGATTCTAACATATCGTAGCAAAAGTTAACGGCTCAATATATTTTTTTCATCATTCAACTATTTAAGTTGGAAATGTGCGGTGGGATGTATTGTAAGGTTCCGTTTATTTCACTGATTCGAGTTTTACTACAGTAAAAGCTCTAAGAAACAATCACATCTAACTTTTTTACTACAGTAAAAAGTTCTCACATAAAATCACATCTCAACTCGAATCAGCGAACTGAACGGGTCTAATTTCACATCTAGTCGAGGGTAGATAAATCCCTTTTTCTTTAATTTTGTACATATCTTTCAGTAAAATTTGTAGTTTGTGATCCCTGTAAAAATATGTCCATTTTTCCTCAAAATTTGAAACCAATATATGTCCATATTTTTTAACTTACTTTTCACCTCCTACCCTGCAGACAACCTATCCACACGTCGTCAAACGCTTGATTCTAATTTATGAACCAAACGTCTCCTTATACCATTATTTGAATCATGATTCATGGTTTGTTACAGTATTTTTTTTTTTTACAAAAAATACACGTAAATTGAAAATAGTTCTAATCTCATGATTCTAATCCATGAACCAAACGTCTCCTTATATTCTCTCCCACAGCCAACCAAGATGAAAATATCAATATTTACATAAACGTTGGTATTTAAATTTTACGGAAATATGGATAGAAATATTGATATCAGTAGAAATTGACGTAAAAAATAGAAATTCATATTAAAACATTTTTAGGGATGTTTAGAAGGTATTTTTAGGCATGTGTAAAAGGTATACTTAAATAATAATTCTTAATTATGACGTTTAAATTTTAAATTTTTTGTGAGAAAAAAACACTGTAGCAGAATAAATAATTTGTGTTTGAGTATATGAAACAAACAGGCCCAAATATACATAATATTACATAATACACATATTACATTAGTTATATGAAACTCTCAAATAAATTACCAATTATTTGATAAATATGCATAATATAGTGTGATCACAATACCATACAAGCTAAGTACACATTTACAAATTAAGTAAAAAACAAAAACAAAAAAAAAAGAATGCTAAGTTCAGATTGAAAAAAGTAAAAAAGAACATAATCTTTACATTTTTGAAAAGTAAATTGGAAAAATATATAAATTTACATAAATTTTTGTAAAAATCTTACCAATGTTTTTACGAAATTTTTGTAAAATTTCTACAATATTCGGTTATTTAACATTACATTTTTTTAATAGGTATTTCCGTAAGAATATCAATATTTATGGAAATTTTTGTGAAAATTTTATGATATTATGTGGAAAAAATATTCTACTTCTATTTTTATATCGATATTTCTAAAATACGGAAATTTCCGTTCGGTAAAAATATTGATTTTTTCATCCTTGCAGTTTACATAACTCAAAGTGCACTTTAATTTAGGACGTTTGTTTCCTATATTCGTCCCTGATTCTGAATCATGATTCATGATTTTCTACAGTATTTTTTCTCACAAAAAATACACATAAAATGAGAATGATTCTGACTCATGATTCTGAATACATAAATCAAACGTCAGTGTAATATTTTATATTTCGTGGGATAACATTATTTATTTATATATATATATTTTTTCTCTGTTTTCACTGAATAAAAAACGTTAAACTAATTAAATATGGAGATAAATTATGCTCCACACTAAGCAAATAACAAGGCAAACCTTTTGCAAAGTTGTACGAACGATTGTACCCATCCGTTAATGCTTAAGGTTTTCTTTTCTCTGCTTCGTTCATTTTACCGATTCGAGTTTTTAGTTTTAGGTTTCTACAGTAAAAAGTTTTTAGAAAATGTTACATCTAATTTTTTTTTGCTACAGTAAAAAACTCTCAAAAAATGTCACATCTCAGCTCGAATTAAAAATTTAAATCCGTGAAGTGAACGAGACATTTATTTCTCCTCCTTAATTTCTCTCACTTTAACAAACTCGCCTCAACGAGCTTAACTTCAAATGCATTCTCTCATGTTGTGTTGTGGTTTTGGCTAAAGTCGTATAGATCAATCATTTTTCTCGAAGCCAAAGATTTTGTAAGATCTGACATTTATAGGATTTTTTGATCATTTATTTATGGAGTTATTGGAATCATGAATGTAGCGGACTGCTGTTAATACCAAGTAATATGATTGGGTTAGTTGTTGTATTGACACAAGTATGGCGGACTTTAATGGTTGCCT